ATCTCGTTCAGCTCGGTCCAGCGCGCTTTGATATTATCAAACTTGGCCATCGCCTCGATATTCTCGCTATCCAACATCCGCTTCATATCCTTTTGCTGTGTGGCCTCGTATATGCGACGATTCAACTCGCGTCTTTCGTTCGCCACACGGATATTGGTCACCAGCTCGTTTCCAAAGCGCACCAGCTGGCCCAGGCGGGTGCTCGACAGCTTAAGCTGTTGATCGATTTTGTTCATCTGGCTCATGGCGCGCTCTGAGAATCCTTTTGGCGTATCCCGCTGGACCTGGCGGACGCGCTGCACAATATTTTGCCTACGCTCATCTAGTATGCGGATCGGCTTGTCGCACTTCTGATTGACCACAAGCGAATCGATGTGGGCCTGAAAAGATTCCCAGCTGTCAACCTCAACGGGCTCAGCAACTTCCGGCTCCGACTCCGGCTCGTCTTCGACATCCGCATCAGCATCTGCATCCGTGTTTGCGTTTTCCTGCTCGACATCCTCCTCGTTATCCATGTTCGAGATATATATAAATATTTACTTGCACGTGTGTATGGGGCAAACGAATTTCGGCAGTTAACTGCTGCTGCTGTTGGAAAACCAAATTTCAATTGAATTTCAAGCGAGTGTTTTGAAACCTGAATTGTTGCCTGGGCCGGCTGCTATGATGAGGGCTTGATCGATATGGTTGCCATGAAACGCCATTGTGACTGTTATTTCCAACAATTTGTTTCCCAAGGCTAGGCATTTTGATATGAGAGGAAAGTTTACGCAAGAAATGTTCATGAAAATTGCACAAATTTAACCAAAGTTTGTTTGTGTGCGCTCAGCGCGTACGTGCGTTCGATGCCAGTTGCTGCAATTAGGGTGACCATTCGTTCGATACCAATTAGAATGGGAACAGTTGTGTACACATGCTGTCTCGCTCACTCGAGCACGCCCAAACACCATTTTTTAATGAATGTTGATGTCATCCCCATGAATTACATATTGCCTGTACGTACGTACATATATATATATGTATGCACATGTATATATATGTATATTACGTATTTATTTGAAATAATTAATCTGAAGCAAATATGACAATTATCCGGATCACCACTAACTGCTGCGACAATCGACTATCAGTCACAATCGAGCCTGAAATTTGATGTCTGCAATAAATACACCTCTGCGTGCCCTGGGTTGCATTTGTCTTTGCTTATTGTCTTTCGTTCGTATCCCCACTGAAAATATGTTAGAAAATTTGAAAAAACTAGCAATCAATTGCGCTTTATTGGATCATAATACACAATCATAGTTGTGGAATTGTAAAAAGTACACACACACGAACACACTTACACGCACATGTACGTATGCATGTGTCTATTTTTATCTATATTTACAATGTGGTTTCCCAAGGATCTGGCCCGCTGCGGAGGGCGCGGAGAGAGGTGAACGGGTCTGGCCGCCTGACTGGCTAGCAAGCTCAGGCTAGCTCAGTTGTCCTCAGTCTCCAACGTGATTTCATAAATTAACTCGTCCTCGTTATACTCGTGACCAGCCTGTTGCTGGTGCTGCTGCTGCGTTTGATGATCGAGGGCTGGATCCAAGTACTCCTCGTCATCGTTGAGAATCTCCTCAGAGTGATCTTCATCGTCGGCCACCTGCTCGACCAGTAAGCCATCATCGTCGTAGCTGCTTGGATCATACTGCTGCACATATGGCTGTTGGTCCTCCACCTCGCCGTGCAGGAAATTGCCGTTGACCGTTTCGTAAATGGTTTCGTCATCCCGTGGTTGATCTTCATCGGCCACTGCGTCGCCAATGATGCCGTCGACACCATCCACGCCGCTCGCTTCAGTGGACTCAACGAGCAGACCGGCATCCTCGTCATATTCCTCCTCCTGCATGCCCGCCAGCTCATTGCAATCGTCCATGGTGTCGCCGTCTTCGTTGGAGGTTCGACCCTCGGCCTGGTTGACGAGTCGACGGGTATTGCTACGGCACTGTATAGAGCGCTTGTGCGCGTCGAAGTAGTTGATGTCGGTGAATTCCTCCTGGCACAGATGACACACATACGTGTCTTGGTTCAGGTGCATCTCCTTGCGATGCCGCGCCATCTTGTGCGCATCCCGGCACTGCATGCCGCAGAAGGGGCACTTGAGCATCCGCCGCTTGCCCATGTGCACATTGCGTATGTGCTCCTGCAGCGAGAAGTTCTTATAGTATGCCTTCTGGCAGTGCTCGCACTGGAACCGTCGCTTCTTCTCGTGCGTCGCCTCTCGGTGCCGCTTCAGCTGGGTATTCTGGGCGAAGGTCTTGCCGCACATCTCGCAGATGTGCTCCTTCTTCAGATGCCGCCGCTGGTTGTGCACATGCAGGTCCTGCTTAGTGGAGAAATAAAGCTTGCAGGGCTCGCACACGTACGGCCGGATGCCCATGTGGCGTCGGGCATGGCCAGCCAAGTACTTACAATCGCGATAGGTCTCGGTACAGTAGATGCAGGCGTAGCGATTGGTACCGGGCACCATGTGCGTCTTCTGATGCTTGGACAGCTTAGATTTGTGCATGACGTCGGGACAGATGCCGCACTCCACTGGCAGCTTCTCGTCGTGCACGCTGCCAATCATCGAGAACTCCACAATGGGCGTGCCATCCTCGTCGAAGTCCACGATGGTGGCAATAAGCTCGTCGAACAGCATATACCGTCGGGGTCCCTTGAACTGATCCAGCATCTTTTCACTAGGCTTTGCCAGTGGTGCAGGCTCCTCGATTTCCTGTACATCGGCTGCATGCGCTATCTCTTCGAAGGAGGCATCGATAGCCACATGGTCCACATGACTTCGTGCGGAGCTATGTGGACTTGACTTCGATTTATTGCGACTTGGAGCTGGGGATAGTGCTGTTGTCGTTGTTGTGGTGGACTTCGTCGTCGTCGTTGTATTCGTCGTCGTCGTCGTCGTCATCGATTCCAGCTTTATTGCCACAGATTCCGATAGAGGTGAGGGTGACTGCACGTAGTTCCATCCAAAGCTCGGCTGATCCTGTATGTGCACGTCGTCCTCGTATTGTTCATACTGTTCGTACTGCTCCTCCACGGGTAGTTGCCCATCGTCTTCCTCCTCCTCCTCTTCGACCAGATCGTCCACATCCTCTGGCAATTGCTCCTCCCCCATATACTGTACATCGTCGAATTGATCATCTCTTGGCTCGCGCAGGAGATCCGCACAATTGACCAGCTGTTGATGCAGGTGCGCATTGTCAAGTAGCAATTGGCCCCCCGTACCGTCATCGTTGACCAAAAGGAATTCCTCATTTTTGAAATCTCTTCCCACATCCACTGAATCCAAAACCACATAGTGATTGCCGTCGGCATCAGCATCGTCGTCGTCGCAGCCCCCGCCGTCATTCTGTTCAGAGTACTCAGATTTTATTGGCAATACGAATTCAATAATTTCTGACATATCGATGTTTAGGTTCATCGGACTCTGATTACAACTTTTTATTTTGACAATTTTTTTTTTTTTTTTTGCTCTCTATTAACTTATTTAGCCGCTCGCTTGTATTTACCGTGTGGCATTAGTGATTAGTGATGAAAAAATGCTGGTGTGACATCTGTCGATGTGTTGTGGAGGCCGGCAGATTAGTGTGTATGCGATACTTGCCAACTATCGTATAACAGTAAATACTGGTTCAGTTTAATTAGTTGAAGAAGCAATAAAACTAAAGAAAACATTTCGATTATAACATTTGAATTGTAAACATTTTAACTGTTACATAAATATTTTACAACTGCACTAAGCAAATCTGAAATATGTTTCGTAGACGCCGACTATATCGATATATTTTCAACTTCTTCAAATTTCGCTTTCACGAGTTGGCAGCTTTGAGCATTTAACAATCGATATGCCTGTTTGGCGCCTTAATCACTGCGCTTGCGTACCGACGACGGTTACGACCGCTTCTTCTTCTTCACAGCTTTATCATCACTTTGCGGTTAGCCAACTTCTTGGCCTCCCAATTTCACATACATGCTGCATTTCGTTGGCGCTCGAGGCTTATTTGATTTGCACACTTGGTAGCGTGCGTTTCGGCCAGAGCTTAGTAGTTGCTGCCGCTGCCAGCCGTGTTTGTTTGTTTTGTTTTTGTTTTCGTCGTGTGAAGCGCGCACATGCGTTGTTTACCGTTAGCAAAATGTTTTTTTAATTTTTTTTATACTTGCGGTTTTTGTGCAGTGCTCATACAGAAATTTTGTAATTGGCGCGATATTGTGTAAGCATTATTAAATTTTTACATAAATGTATATTTCTATTAATTTTGATGTTTGCTGTGAAAATTTGCTTTGAATGCTTTGATCAAACATATTTCATAAAAGTATTTGGAAATTTTTGTGTAAAAAGGTGTAAAGTGACAACAAAAAGGATATGCCTAAAGCATATTTGACATTTGTTTCTTTGTGCCGTGCTTGCTGTGTTGGTCAAGGTGAAGCGAAGGGCTTGTAGACCTTTTACCAAAAATATGCATTTTTTTATTTTACTTTCAAACTTGACTAGTTAATTGTGAAGATTACAAGCAGCAGCAACAGGGGCAACATAATATGGCACAGCAAATAAATAAGTAAACAAAGCAAGAGCAACAACAACAACAACAACAAGGGCTATAAAGAGTAAGATGAACAACTAAAATCAAATAGGATTACGCAAAGTTTGATGTTGATGTTGATGTTGATTTAAGTTTTTATTTGCCTATTTTAACGTATTTATTTAGTGGCTGCTGCAATCGCTGGACATATTATTTGATTTGTTTTGTCTTGTTTTGTTTAGTTTTGATTTGATTTGATTTGATTTGAATGCAAACTTGACCCACTTACGAATTGGCCAATTGGCCACAGTTGAGCATCTCTCTGCACTCGCATCGCGCGTGTGTGTGCGTTTGTGTGTGTGTGTGTGTGTTGGCCTTAATTTGCTGCCGTCTGCCGTCTTAGTAATGCATAGGAATTTTCATTTTCAGTTGCTTAGGCCTGATCGCCAGGTCGGTGGACTCGATTCTCGCGACGGGGCCAATTAGAAGAAGAGGCGACTAGCTGCAAGCAGCCAGCAGTCGACAACTATCAACTATCAACCGGCAGGTGCAACTACAGGTGTTGTGTGTTTGGCCAACGGCAAACGGCAAACGGCAAACGCGACCAAGTGGCATCATTTGCGGTTGCAGTTGCCCGCGTCGGGCGCAACGGGAAATTGGAAAATCGGAAACATGTTCTTGCGGCGTCGCCAGCTACAACCAGAGCCACAGCCCCAGCCCCAGCCGCAGCCGCAGCCGCAGCTGAAGCCACAACTGAAGCCACAGTTGCTTTCCTCTCTTATCTGGCAGATGCATCGACAAGTGCATTTAGTGTGTCATGCTGGCTGGGCAACCAGAACGGCAATTGCACTGGGCGTGTTTCTCTTGGCAGTCGCAACACCTGTCGCTGCTGCAGTCGCCACTTCAGCTGAGGCCGCTACCGCCACCGCCTCCGCCCCCGCCCCCGCCGCCTCTTCCTCCACCACCACCTCTATGCGAATCCAGACATTGCAGGTGAATTGCACGCGTGAGCTGCTGGAGATGCAGCTCACACTAAGCCGGGCGTTCCGTGGCCTGCTCTACGCCAAGGACTTCCCGCTGGAGTGTCGGTCGCGCGGTCAGGACGCTACGCACATCGCCCTGCGGCTGCCCACCTCGGGCTGTGGTGTGCGCGCCGAGCCGCTGCCCGACGGCGGCATGGAGTACACCGTGCGGATCATGCTCCAGACGGAGCAGAAGCTACGCCAGAGCACGGACATCCTGCGCACCGTGCGCTGCCAGCTGCCGGCGAAGGCGATGGGCATGCCGCTGCCGCTGCACGGCCGAGATCGGTAGGCGGGCGGGCACAGCTCATTTGGAAACCAATTTCCCAACTGCTCATCCCCCTCTTCTGCTCTTCCCCTCTCTTGCAGCAATGCGCGCATGCGCGCCCTGGCCGTAGCTGCATCGGCGGCCGCAGCACAGACGCATCTCATGGACACGCCACGCGTGCGCATCTGGCTGGAGCTGGGCGGTCCCAATGGCTCGGGCTCTGTGGAAGTGGGCATGGCCACCACCCTGACCGTGCGCGCGATTGTGCCGGGCACGATTGGAGTGCGCGTCGTCGACTGCGCTGCTCTGGATGGCCTGGGTGAGTCGACGCAGCAGCTGCTCGACGCCCGCGGCTGTCCCATCGACGAACAGGTGAGACGACAATTAATTAATTAATCATAATTTTAAATGCTTTCATTGCCGCGGCTGCTGCTGCTGCTGCTGCTGGTGTTGTCTATTTTCGTGTGTGCGATTAATTTCTGCTGCCCATCGATTTGATTGGCTAACTTTCATTTCTGCGAAAGTGATTCGAGCTTTGATATTTCTGATCAGATTAACGTCGCCACTGCCACAGAAATCGCCAGCCCCAGCTCCAACTCCAGCGCCAGTGTTGTGCAATTGCCTTCTTTGGTGGCGTGCATCATTAAATGTAACGGTTATTACAGCACACCGACGTCAGCAGCGACGTCGGCAGCAGCTAGTCAAAAATGTAAACTGTTAGACATAATTACGCGCGCATCGTTAGAACAGTTGGCGTTCGCGCTTGCCCAGCCAAGCAGCTTAGCGGCCATTAAGCAAGCAGCTGCTGCTCTGCTGCTCTGCCCACGAAACAGTTCTTCAGTTCTTCTTGAGTAAATTAGGAGGTCACAACAATTAGCCAACAGTTGTGGATTGTATATACATACACACATACACACATACATAGCTATTTTGACATGGCTTCTGCCTGGGCAGTAGCCGAGTAGCAATAGCAATGCCAAAGCTAAAAGCATTTGCATTTGATCGCTGGCGTCGTCGCAGCTTTGTGCACATGTCATGCCATTAAATGGGTCAAACAAATCTTCTGCCAGTGCCACCACTGCTGCTGCTGTTGGCCATTGTGTGAGGTGCTGGCAAGAAAAATCTCACGGCTTAATTTTTATTTTTATTTTATTTTAACGGACAGGGGCAAAGCCAAAAGACAAAAAACAAAACAACAACAAAACATTTGCATTTTATGTTTGTTTTATTGTTCCATCACAATGCTAAAAAACATCAGTCCCCCACCTGCCGGCGCTGCCCCACCTGCCCCGCTTAGTGGTATAAGTTCGTTGTCTTCCGTTTTAGCAGATTTTCATTTTCTTTCACATTTAGTTGCTTTTCTTCTTCTTCATCTTCTTGTATACATATTACGTGCGCATGTGTGTGTGTGCGTGTGTCTGTGTGTGCAAATAATTTATGCACCCGCCCAGCTCTGTCTTGGATTATTTATTTGATTCACAAATGTCTTCTAGGTCGCGCAGAGCTCCGCTAAAAAGTGAAATAGAACAGTTTCTGATCAGAATCTGGCCTACATAATAAATATGCATTGTGTGTGTGTGTGTGTGGTCGGGTATGTGTGTATGTGAACTTACAGAAAGAATGCATTTGGCCTGAAAGTGTTCTTTGTTATTGAATAGACACATTTTGTATATTTTCCTTTTGACTCAATTTCACTGTAATGATTGAATATCATTAGAACAGCTGTAATAAGCTGTACTTCTCATATGCATATAACAACACACTTGAGTATTCCTGATAAGCAGTAGCAAAGGCCACTAAGTATCGATTTGCAATGTCTATCATTCACTATTAAATTTCTTATTGAATCGAGCACTGGCGAAACACATCAATTCAATTCAATTTCTGGTACAAAAATTGAAATATTCTTCTTTCTCTTGTCTCTTCTCTTTTATTTGTGTATTATAGAATTATATCCAATTAGCTTTAGATATTTTGGCATCAGAAATATGCGAGCAAACTGCTTAGCACTGATAATATAAGACATCTTAATATGCGCTCATTAAATCTCTTCTTTTGTGTATAAGACGCCAAAAATATGCAAACATATTGAAAAGTGATTGTGATGGTACAAAAATTGAAATATTCTTCTTTCTCTTCTCTCTTCTCTTTTATTTGTGTATTATAGAATTATATCCAATTAGCTTTAGATATTTTGGCATCAGAAATATGCGAGCAAACTGCTTAGCACTGATAATATAAGACATCTTAATATGCGCTCATTAAATCTCTTCTTTTGTGTATAAGACGTCAAAAATATGCAAACATATTGAAAAGTGATTGAGGCTCGCGCCAGTCCTGAGGTTGATGCTATTCCTGTTGTCTTGGTCTCATTCACGCATTTACATAAGCCACAGCAATGGCAATACAAGACATCGAAATTATGCGCATTTTAAGCTCTTATATTTCTGTTACGACTAACAGCGCCAGTCCTGCGAGCAGCTTTTTTCGCCCGAATAGGCGAACATATTGAAAAGCTATTTCTGATTAGGCTGGCAACGCTACTACTGCAAACAGTTGTTGTTGTTGTAGTTGGCTTAGTGATGACATAACAAATTTAAATATGCGGTTATGCTGTAAGCTCTTCTATTGTTGATTATAAGACAGCCTAATATGTAATAATATCGAACAGCTATTCAAGCTCTTATATTTATGATTATGCTTCCCTGAGCAGCAGCTGCTGTTGTTGTTTTATTCATTAAATATATGTACATATGTATATGTATGTATGGACATATGTACGTACTTGTGATTTATACAAGATATCTGAATATGCGGACATATTATGTCCTGCAGCGCGCCTAATAGATTCATGTTTGAACTCATTTGAACTTCCGTTGGAAACAGAGCTTATATTTGTTTGCTTATTGTTGTAATTGTTTCAAGTTTCTCTCATAGACAGACACACGCACGAGGGAGCACACGTGCTTGAGGTATGTAAATTGAAATGAGATAGCGGCGTCTCTATCTATGTGTGTGTGTGTGTGTGTGTGCTGCAAGTACAAGTGGCAGTGCAACAACAATGGCAATGGCGTAAATCACATGAGTCTGTAATTTCAGACACACATCGACACACAGACACATGCAGGTGTACATATGTATGTGCTGCAATATGGCTAATGAACACACACACATACACAGCGAGTTGTAGAGCATTGTTGTTGTCCGTGAACTTGGCTTATGGCTTTTGTTACCGTTGCTCGCAACGGAAGTGGCCAAATAATGCACGTCTCAGAGAAAGAGAGAGGGTGAGAGAGAGGGATTGAGGTGTCACTGCCATTGCCAGTGATGTGTGTTCGTGTCGCCAGCGACAAGACAACAATTGTATAAGAGCCGGCCATAAACAGAGCTCGCTTGAGCCGAGGTCAATCAGAACTGGTTCGGTTTGTTGACAGTTATGCATTATCTAAGCGCTTACTTCTAATTCCCTGATGATACTTTCAATTTCAGCAGTTACCTCATGGTATATAGAACAGCTAACCACAGTCAGCCGGCTAATACGCCGGGTCAACGCACCCAAATAAAATTCTGTGCGATGCGTTTTCTTTGAACTCAACCCATTGTCGGCGGCATTAACATCGGCGTCTGGTCTAATGCGAACAAATTTTAATGTAATTTAAATTCAAGTTATTATAATCCAGACCGTTAGCTCAGCTTTAGTTTCGACTAGTTTCGAATCCTCTAAATTCACATTGAGGCTAACGGCAAATGTTAATTATTCTTAGTACATGCGAGTCCGCCCGACCATCTCATGCTCGCCTCTAAGACTCTTTTGACAAGCCGTAAAGACTTGTCTTAGCTCAGCGAGCAGCGCAAAGTAATGCGGCTTCAACTTTGACTTTAGGCTAAAGCGATTTTTGAGTTTAGTGGGCGTGACTTCGAAATTGTTGCTGAACTATGAACAAATTGAGGAATCAATATTATAAAGTTATTGTTTACAGCAATTTCAATTGCAATTTCGCTTATTTTTATATCCTGAACCCATTGAAAATGGGAAATCAGGGTATAATGGTTTTGTGAAAATGTATGTAACGGGCAGAAGGAGGCGTGGCAGACCCCATAAAGTATATATATTCTTGATCAGCGCGACGAGCTGAGTTGATATAGCCCTGTCCTTCTGTCCGTCCGTCCGTCCGTCCGTCCGTATGAGTGCGTCGATCTCAGAAGTTATAAGAACTAGAGAGCTGAAATTTGGCATGCATGCTCGTGTATACCATAGGCAGTACGAGTTTGCTTTATTTTTTCGATAATTCATCCGATAACTTTTTTATCGAGAATAATCGAAAAATCGGCATTGTTTTTCCAGCCTAATTTGAACATTTTTAGACCTGGAGTCTTCAAATTTGCGTTGTATATAAAGTATTTTTGGATACCACGCCCCCTTTTCCCCCAATTTGTAAAAAACGCATTTCAAGTACTAGAGACTTGTGCTTTGGAATGTACACACATATTCATCATATAATTACACTCTAACAGTTTCATTAAGATCTTATGTCTACAAAAGAAATTATTCAATAAATAAATTCTCATAATATTGCCCACATTGCAGCGCAGCCCAAGCGCAGTCGCTGCTTACTGCGCAGTTAGCAGAGCGCAGGCTTATGCGTGCGTGTGGATGCATGTGTATGTGTGCATAAAAATGCAGAATTATTAGAATATCAGCTTAGAGGGTTCAGGGTATCTCCTAGTCGAGCAGTCTCGACTAGAGCCTTCTTACTTGTTTTGTGGTCACTTTAAGGTTGATTTATAATAATGTACTCTAATATGTACTCAAAATGCACTTTCAATGTATTTGTTAATTTCAACAAGTCATCAAAAAACAAAACATCAAAGTGTATATGTATGAACTGTGCCTACAAAGTAAGCCTGCTAGAGCAAATCAATAATCAAAAATATTTTTGTAGAATACTATACTATATACATATACATATGTATATCCTACTACTTTTTTTACTAAATATGTATATGTATTCATTATTTTTATATTCGTTTAGGTAATGCCGGCATTGCATACGAGCTTGAGGCCCGCCGAGGAAGGGTGGTCCAAGCAGCATGAGGAAGATCTGGTCGAGCGCACGTTTATGGCCACATTCGCCGCCTTCAAGTTTCCCGATCGCGAGCGACTACACGTGAGCTGCGGCGTACAGCTATGCAGAGGGAAGTGCCCAAACGTGAGTAAAGCAGACACAATATATGCATATGCACGTATGTACATTGTACATACATACATCCGCACAATCTATAAAGATATTTGTATAGCTATGCTAAATTAGCTAAGGCAGCAAACAAGGCATTCCAAATGCATTTGAATTAATTGCAATGAAAACGAAAGTGTTGCCGTTGCTGCTACTGCTGCTGCTGCTGCTCGCAATTTGGCTTGTGTCTTGCTGGGCTGTGTGTGCAGCGGAGCGTATACTTAATGTGTGTAAGGCGCCAGTAATTAATGTGGTTATTGCACCGAAATGCACTCAACTGCAGCACGCAGTAGGAATCAACAGTAGCTAGCACCAAGCACTAAGCACCAAGCACCAGCAGCAGCAGCAGCAGCAATTGCCCAAAAATAATGTCCACGTCAAGTGAAATGAAATCTTTCAACAGCTGAATTGTCGCCTCGCCGAGCAGCAACTGCAGCTGAACGGGGATCAGCACCTGGCGCGCATCGAGGTGTTCAACTCGTTGGCCGTGACAGCGCCGCAGATCGAAGTGGATCGCCTGCGCTACGACCGTCGCTACAACATGAGTGGTGAGTGCCATCGGAATCGAGCCTGATTGAAGCTGATGAGAAATGTCTTTGCAGTGGAGGACTATGTGCCGCACGTGCGTCCTCTGGTGGGCGAGGGCACGCTCTGTCTGTCCATTTCGAAGCTGGCCATCTCGTTCTGCATACTGGGCTCCATCTTTCTGATCGCCGTGGTTGTGGCCATCTTCTCGCTGATCCGCACTCGGCGACGCCAGCAGGGGCGTGGCTCGGCCCTGGGCCTGGGCATGGGCTTGTCCGGCACTGGCACAGCGACTGGCAGCACGTCGAACAATAGCAGCAGCCGGCTGCATCGCGCCGAAATATGCACTTCCATGTTCTCCTCCAGCAGCGAGTCGGCCCAGTCCGCGCCACGCTTTGGCGGCAAGTTTCTAATGCCTTTGCCGTACTATCCAACCACTCTGCCCTATGGCCGCGTCTATTGAGTGTGTGAAATGTTAAAATTCATTGCAAAGTTTTATCTCTATTCAGGCGTATTTTGGTAGAACAATTCTATAGACTGATGTGGCTTCAATCTCAAATATGCAATTCGTTTAACGAATTCTCAACGAAAATACCAAAATAATTTATAACGGCACACATAAATAAATATATGCATACTTAAATATATATATATTTAGTGGAAAGCGTCTCGAAAGCATTTTTCATCGAAATGTTAAAATGCATTTTGATGCGCTTTCATTATATTAATTGTATTAATAATTACAAACGTCTTTAAATTCTTTTTTTTTTTATTTTTTTTTTTAACAGTGCAACTATAATAAACATTTTTAATTAGAAAACTATCGATTGCTATTGCTATTCTTGCATAATGAATAATGTATTGTAGTGATTGTAGCTCTACTTATAAATCTATTAAATTTCTGTATTTTTTATTTAACTTTGCAATTATAATAAAAATTTAAATTTAAAAACCTATCGATTGCATCTGTTTCTTTTACTGTGCTCGATAGGGCCGTCGTTTTTTTGGGACAGGTTGTCAGTCTTCACTTGCAGACGATTGCGATATCGATAATTATAACAACAACAGTGGACCCATTCGACAGCACGAGCACGTTGCGGTCTGCGGCGCACTTTGAAAGAGTGTGTTTTGATTGCAGAATATTGGGAGTATCTAAAGCAAGATGACAAAGACAGCGCCAAAGGGGCGCAAGAAGCCGGCAGCCCGCTATTTTGAGAGGGCAGCAGCAGTTAAAACCGAAGATGGAGAGGAGAAACCATCGAAACCAAAACGCAAACATCAAAGAAATTTTACAGGTGACTTTCTCAAAATTCAGTCGCAAGAGAAAAGCAAAGCACTAAAGCGTAAGCGCCTTGAAGCAACTGAGAAGCCCAAGAAGCAAAAAATACCGCAGGAAGTCCTGGAAAAATATTCACGTGGCGAAGCCGTCGACTCCACTGGTGTCAGGACGCGGCACTTCAAGGAGAAGCATAAGCGCAAGGAGATCTACGTGGAATATGCCACAGAGCAGGCAGCACGTACAGAACTTTTACTACAGGAGACACCTGGACAGTTGGAGGCTGATGAGGAGGAGACAACAGCGGAATATCGTCAAGCGGAGATTGTGGCCAATGTGGATCTGCAGTCGGCAGCGAAGCATTTCTCCCTCAAGCTCGACTTCGGGCCCTACACGATGCGCTACACAAAGAACGGGCGGCATTTGCTGCTGGGCGGGCGACGCGGCCATGTGGCTGCCTTTGACTGGGTAACCAAGAAGCTGCACTGTGAATTTAATGTGATGGAGACCGTGGCCGATGTGCAGTGGCTCCACGTGCCCACCATGTACGCGGTGGCTCAGAAAGAGTGGGTATACTTCTACGACAAGAAAGGCACCGAGCTGCACTGCGTCAAGCGACTGGCGCGTGTGAACCGAATGGACTTTTTGCCCTATCACTTCCTGCTAGCGGCCGGCAACAGTGCTGGCTATGCATCCTGGCTGGACGTCTCGATTGGTGAGCTGGTGGGCAACTTCAATACAGGCCTGGGCGACATACGGCATATGCGACACAATCCGGGCAACGGCGTCCTGTGCATTGGCGGCGGCAAGGGCGTCGTGTCCATGTGGTCTCCCAAGGTGCGCGAACCGCTGGCAAAGTTGCTCTGCCATCCCACAGCAATAACAGCACTGACAGTCGACCCAAAGGGCATGCACCTGGTCACCGCCGGCCTGGACCGACTGGTCAAGGTGTGGGACCTGAGGCAGCTGAGCGACAAGCCGCTGGCCATCTTCAACCTCCGTCTGCCGGCCAACGAGCTGGAGGTATCGCAGCGCGGCATGCTGGCGCTCTCGCAGGGCACCTACCTGGAGACCTACACGGATGTGCTCTTAGGCGGCGGCACTGGCCGCAAGAACATGCTGCCCTACTTGCGCCAGCGCTGCGACGCCTTCGTGCATACGATGCGCTTCTGTCCATACGAAGACGTACTAGGCGTGGCCACGGCTAATGGCTTCCAGTCGCTGCTGGTGCCGGGCTGCGGCGAGCCCAACTACGATGCGCTCGAGGACAATCCATTCGAAACGAGCAAGCAGCGGCGTGAGCACGAGGTGCACGCGCTACTAGAGAAGATACCGCCAGAGCTGATAACACTGGATCCACACGAGATAACCGGAGTGGATGCGCCCACTCTGCAGGAGAAAATCGATGCCAAGCGGCAGCTCTTCTACCTGAAGCCGCCGCGCATCAACATAAATCCGCGCCACAAGATGAAGGGGCGTGGCGGCAGCGCTAAGGCGGCACGCAACAAGCAAATAGTCAAGGATCAACAGCGCAAGGTGCGACAACTTCTGATATTTCTTAGTTTTCATACTAAAATCATTTTTATTTTTGGCCCAACAGGAGTTCATTGCTGAGGTGAGAAAGGCCAAAAAGGACGTCATTGCCAGCCACGCCGAGGGCGGCGAGGAGACGACGGGCGAAAAGGTCAAGAAGCCAAAGGCCGTGCGCTCCGTTTTGGATCGCTTTAAGCCCAAGCCTCAAAAGAAACAGAAGTCCACAAACTGAATATACCAATCATTAGTTGTTGCTTTTATATAGTAATTATATAGCTATTATTTTGAAATCACGAAATCCTAATATTAAGACAATTAAAAGTATCTGAATAAGTCATTTGAATGTATATAAATAGACATACTCGGATAATGCGTTCCCACTTACCCTACATAGCTAAAGAATAATTCGACCTATTTGAATCTAACTCAAGAAAAAGCCTTTGTCTTGATGTGTCAATATATATTTAGTCTGGGCTGTATATTATATAACTAGGAACTATACATACAAGCTTATTGAGCTACATCTATATAAACATATATTAAATGTAATGTAACGTCCTAAGGGAAACAGTCTTATAGACACATGTTGAACTGAAGCAGTCAGCGTTAAGTCATCCGACGATAGATTGATCAAGGGTTCATTAGGCTCATTCTAGGATAGTTTGTCGGGTCTATTCATAGCTGAAAATGGACTTCAAGTAGTTGGCGATGCTCTCAGATGAATTCTTCTCGAGCGTGGCCTGTAGCTGGTTAACATCGCCGCATTTGCGCGCATGATAGAATAGATTCACTATGCGCTTCTGGTTCTCGAAGCGGCTCTCCTTCGAGCAGGACTCGCCCGTCACAAGCAGCCGCTCCAGGTTCGCGAACACCTCGGATGCGCTCTCCACGAGCGCCGTCATGAAGACGACGTTTTGCTGGCGGCAGAGCGTGGACATCGCCATCAAGGTGACATCGGCCACGTTCGGCTTGAGCAGCAGCTGCGGCAGATAGCTGAGAAACTTGGCGAACTGCTCCTCGGCACCGTAGCCCTGGTAAAGGTCAACGCGCTGCACAATCTGGCACAAAAGGTTCAGTACCTTGGTACTGATGCCCTCACGAGTTGCGTATTGCTGATCCACGTAGGCATCAATGCAGGTCTGCATCACAGTGCCCATCCGATGAGCTTGCAACTGCAGCAGTGCTGCGCCATTGTCCAGCAGCAGGGCGCGTAGTGCCGCCACTAGACGCAGCTGCTCGTCCGTTGACAGTGTGACTAAGCGGCGCAGGCATTGATGGATGTAGTACAGCAAGCTGCCGTAGTCCTCGCTCTGCTCGTCGTCCGGTTGCGGCCAGAAGTGGCAGACGAGCTGGACCAGCGTCAAGTTCTGAGCAATGCACAATTCTCCGCCAGCCGCTGGTGTCTTCAGTTTCTTGGCCTTCTTGCCGCTCATGCTTTGTGCGCTGGCTGCCAGCGGCATTTGCTGGTAAGGATAGTTGCTGTCCTGGAGAAATATGCGCATGAAGCTGACTGCATAGGTCCGCCGCATCCAGTCACTCAGCTCGTGTGTGCTGTCTTGCTGTGTGGCCTCGTACTGGAGCACCAGCTGCCACAGCTGCGCCATGATGTCCAGGATGACGTGAAGACTAGCTGCCGCGTCGGCATTGAGTAGCTGGTTGGGCTGCTGCTGCTGTTGTTGCGGGCGCACCTCGATCCAATTGTCGTGGAGCAGCGGCATCAGCTGTTCCACATAGCCGAGCAGCTGCTCGTTCTCAGCCTTGCGTAATCGCTCACCCACAATGCTGTACAGGTCCCGGCTGTCCAGTGGCTGAGGGCGCAGCACATTGTAGTACTGCACCTTCGTGGGATCGTAATGGACGACGCGTCCCGCTGTGCTGTCTCTGCTGTTGGTCTGGCTGTTCTGCTGAATCAGCGTACTGAGAATTTGTTGCAGGCGCAGCAACACTTTTGTGCGCCATTTGATCGTCGTCAGCTGGCCTTGGCCCAGGCGCACGGTGAGCAATCGATTCGTGTGCTGTGTGTCGTGGCGTGTGCGCGATATCATGTCTATGAAGTTGCTTATGATGGTGCTTGCGCTGCGCTCGGCCAGCAGGCGCGAGGGAACACGCTGGAGCAGCACATCCAAGAGCAGTAGCGAGTCCTCCTGTATAGATGGCTGGACATGCGTCATGGCGCAGCGCAAGTAGGCGGCGATGATGTGGAAGAAGGGCACAACCGCCTCGACGGGCAGTCCGTCGAGCAGCACATCGAGCGTTTTGAACGATTCGCGTCGCACCTCCTGTTCGATGTCTAAGGCGCCAGCTGCGATGCCTTGCACCAGCTCATTGAGATGACCAATCAAGTGACCGGCCTGGCCAGCTTTGATGGCATCACGCACATTGCGCAGCGCGTCCGTGCGAAACTTAAGATTATGATGTTTCAGTCGGGACAGAGCCTCTTTCAAGTTCAGCTGGCGCTGGCCGTTATTCGCCGATAGAACAGATTCTTTGAGTTGCGTGCGTATTTCAATTTTGCGCACCTTAAAGTCCGTCTTAGTTACATTGAGACCCTTGGGTAGCTTGGCGCCCTTCAACTTCACTTTGGCCTTTTCGGCACGCAGATTCTTCTTATGATGTCCGCCCATTTCAATGAGTTGAAATTTTAAATTAAAACATGTGCTGCTCGGCAGCACAGTGTGAAATACCACATATTAATTGATCGAGCTATCGATATTTCTCAAAGCTGCTGTGAGATTGTACAATAGGGCTGCCACCTATGCAATATTGCCACCTTTCATACGGCTAGCGCGCGCAATTTGAATAACTCTGTCTGCTAGGCATACAAAGTGGATGCAGCAA